AGCAGTCAAGTGCCTTAGGCACTATGCTACCAGAGCTAATACGATATATTAGCACTTTATGCTCTCCCTTAGCCTTTGAGGGACTGCTTTGACCATTTAATTGCTCTTTAATAGCCATTTGCACCCCCCATCCCCAAATAATTTCAATCCACAGTTGGTTCAATCCATGGATATGGAACCAGCAGATATGTAGAGAAGCCAAATTCCAATTTTCCAGTCCCAGCTTCAGTGGTGCTGTGGTTAAGGCACTGGGCTATTAAACAAAAGGTAGGTAGTTAGTACCTACTACCCACCGCGTGGCAACAAGATAAGGCAATCTACTTCCATAAAGATTTACAGCCTTAGAAACTCAATGGGGGTCATAATGTATGTACTACATCATTTGCTAATGTTATCATTCTCAGATGTTCACTCACAGATGTTCAATTTTATGATTTACTGTTCAAAACACTACTATATAGAGTTAGTTTTCTAATTGCTTAAAAGCATGGACCCAAAAGAGTGACTGACCACTTGCTGAAGTCAGTAGGCAGATTTGGGAGGTAGTGAGATGTTACTGTGAAATAGATGAAGGAAAAAAAAAGGATCATATAGTCAACTCTCACTAATTTTCTGACTAGAAACACCATCCCCACTCCCAGAAATAATTCAGAACTTTCCATAAGTGGAGTTATTACCATAACTTTCAAAATGCCAATTTAATCCAATCAGAGTATATTTTTATGATTTGTGTATTTCTTATGTATGTATTTATTAAAGTATCTTAAGTCTGTATGTAATGTTTCCAACCCTCAAAGACAAATGAAAATCAGATTTATAAAGATACTGATAATAAAAGGCAGTAAGGGAAACAAAACAAAAATTATCCCTTATTGCCTTTTATTATCAGAACTGACTTAGGACAGAGGTGCTAGAACAGAACCCCATCATAAGACAGAAACTACCTATATTTATTTTGTCTTATTTCAAAAAAGGATTGGCAGTAGCCTACAAAATCACATACAATTAAAACTCATAACAGACATTTAGAGACATTATGGCAGTTCTGGAAAGTTAATATTCCACCAAAATTGAGAACACTCCTTTTGTTGCTTCTAATTTCCCTCTTCAGTGATCTAAGAAAGAATAGAGGGGACAAGAAAGCCTACTGCTGCTAACTATCTGAAAGGTCTCAGAGAAAAATACCAGTGAAGTTGGTGAGCAGTTTTGTGCAACCAAGGAGAAAAGTGGTTTGTGATCACACTTAGGTTTCCATTTCCTTTGAGAACCCTTTCTTTAACAGATATTAATTCTTTTAGGGCAGAATTATTTTCTGCTTCTGGATTTTTGGTTGAAACCATGCTTTCAGTAATGGAAGGCATTCTGAATGAAATGAGAAAAAATAGCTTTGAGATAGTACGGATTTTGATATAGTTAGTATGTCCCAAGGGTTCTCTGGTGCTAGGGTTCACAGTTATACAGACCCACCCCAGACAGCAGCATGAACTAAGAGTGAGATAGCAACTTCCCACTAAACCCACCATTGTTAAGAAAATGTAGGTGAGTGCAGTATCCCACAGGTCACGAAAGAGTTAAAAATCTTCCTCTTAAGAAAATGGGTACAATGCTAGAAATAACATAAATTAATACCTTGACAATTAACAGTGCAGGGGATATGCATCTGTTCCACTGTGAATCATTAATAAATTTATAAATCATTAATAAAATTAAAAAGATTCCTATAGCAGTAAAAAGATTTAAAAGAAAAGTATATCAAATTTTACATAT